TTTTTTTTTTTTCTTTCCTCGTTCGCTCTCTTTTAATCTCTTTCACCGCGGACCAAGGCGATCCTCGCATCGATTGTTTTCGAAAAATCGGCGTGGACGATGGTTGCTTTCGATGGATTTCGCTTGCGGGAATTTTGAAGAATTAACATCGACATTCGCGAACGTTTCTTCGTTTTCTTTCGACGAAGAAACGACGAAGTTGGCGGATGCAGAAAAATCGGGAACCATGACCCGGGTTATTTAACATCCGAGTTTTTAATTGAATTAAACTTTTTATTAATAATCCCTTTTCGAGGGAGAAATATGAAATACAGAGTGAAAATTGAATGAAAGATATACGAAATTTTAATAATTCAACGTAAATTCATCCACGATCGAACAACAAAGATTAAAACATGAGATTAAATGGATGGTAACTAACTAATTAACTAATACTGAATTATTTTTGTTGCGACAAATAATATAATTGGACTAGTTTCATAATTCAAACGTGCTATTTTCGTATTTGTTCTTCTCTCTGTTTCATAACGTTCAATTTTTGTTTAACATCTTTCTTTTGTCACAATATATTATTTATAAAATCTGTGAAAAAAAATCTTAAATCGTCCGGAATATTAAAACTAATTATTTAAGAAATCTATATATATTTCAAGAATATTTGTTGAATTATAATATTCATTTCAGGCCATATAGAATCGGAAAGACAGATACAAGTATAGAAAAATTCCATAAAATGGTGAAATAAATTTGTAAACGTGTGAATAAATTTTGATAATCGGATCGAAAGAAGAACTTGAATGGACGACGAAAACAATGGAGGATCTCTATGTAAGAAGGAAAAAAGATGTATCATATTGAAGTAGGTTAGTTTTCGAAAGTTCCGAGTTACTAAGGCAAGAGTTAATAGTTTCATGAAGAAACACGATAAATCAATCTATCCGTGGTTACAGGAGAAATTTAATACATTTGACGATGCTGACTCTAATTTTCCACAAATAATGTCTGTCTGGAAAGTGGAAAAAATGAAGTGATACTTCATATACAATAAAGAATAAAATGTTATAATATTATTAACAGTATTAGTTAATATTAATATTATGTTGATATGTATAATGAAATATAATGCAAATTTGCTAGTTCATAAAGACTTTACGAGTCTCTTTCACTATCAGGATTCCAGGAAAAGATGAAAAGCGATAATGTCTTTTTCGAAACTATTTGTCTTGTATTGTTAAACACAAAATATACAATTTATGATTACGTATTAGTTTTGTTATACAATGAAGAACATAAGTGACAACCAGCAATCGCTATACCAGTTTCGTATGAATAAGAAAATAGTTAATGAAAAGCAATTATTACTGGTAAGAGAAATAAACATGATGAAAACATTTTGCGTGATTGAAATCAATCTTTTAACACCTTTTCAATTAAAAAAAATATCGAATCAAAGATTCGATTTTCCACGATTAATAACTCAATAGTATTTTATCGCGTTTCAACTCTTTAGCAATTTAAAAATTATATAATTAGAAAACGACACCGTATCTAATTAATTTCTGTCTCGCAATAAATATATTTTTATAGACGTTTAACGCAAAAGAGTAGTTACAGTAAAAACGATTCGAGAAACGCGTCATTAAAATAAAAATCAGGCACTTTTTCGAGTATCATAAAAAATTTTGTAACATTACAATTCAGTAATAAACGAAATAATTAACGATTGAGTCGCAAGTGTACCAATGCTTCTACGACTGTGGAATATTCGTTCTTATTTCATAATCTTTTTTATACCGCATCATTGAATGTTCCAAAAGAGTATGCATGTTATGTTAAAAGAAACGCTCACTAAAAAATATATTCGATATTAATACATCATTTTAGTATGTAAAAATACCTCAAAGGAAAACGTCTCCATATATTTCTGATCTGTAATAAAATTCGACAAGTTACTAAATCCAACACACGACATTATCTCTCGCGGTATTTCGCAAAAATTAGTGCAGTAATCGAGTAGCAGAGATAATTATGTCGCAACATCCGTCAGCGACATCGAACGAAAGTGATGGCGTTTCGAGTTCCCT